GGCCCCGAACCCCCGGCTGGAATCCCCAGAGGAACCGCCTGAGGCCCCGGAGGAGACAGGACGGGGGCGGGACGTTTCGAGGGTTCCTGGCCTCCGGCAGCCCCGCTGCCGGGGAAACTGAGGCCCCAGCGCTGAGCGTCCACGCGTCGCGGAGCGCAGGGCCTCGGCCGGCATCTGGGCGCAGGGACCCTCCAGGGAATGGTAGGGAGGGGGCGCTGGGGCACAGTCGCAGGGGTCTCCCTTCCAGAAGAAAGACCCAGGCCCGATGTGACTCCCTGGCTGTGTGTTGCAGGCCAAGTCACTTCCTCTCCTGTGCCGGGGTGTCCATCTAGGGGTGGGTGTGCCCCTCCTATTTGGCCTAGAGGGAGCTGGGCCCAGAGAGCCCGAGTCTGTGTGTGGGCTCAGGCCTGAGGGCACAGTGTATGGCTGAGGACAAGCTTGGGGGGAGAGAGAGGCTGTTGAGCCACAGGCTGTGGCCACACTATGTGACTCTGAGCAGGCCCCCTCCTGCCTCAGTGGGCCCAACCAGAGCTGGGCTTGAAGGAACACCTCCCTCCTCCCCTCCTGGCTGCACCCCTTGCTGTCACCTTCAGGATACAGGGGCACAGGATACTCACCCTCACTTGTCTGTGTGGTCTTGTCACATCCTCGCAGCAGCACTGAGGCGGGCATCGTGACCTTCATTTCACAGATGGGGAAACTGAGGCCCGTGGAAGGGGGTGTCTTGACCACACACTAGTGAGAGGTGCGGCTGAGCCCATTGTCTCTCTTTCCACTGCACCAGTTGCCTTTAGGAGCCAAGACCTGGGGTCAGGCTCAGGGTCTGCTGCAGGACCCTGAAGGGTGTGGGGGTTTGCACCACGGAGGGGAGCAAGCAGCCATGCTGTGGTGGGGGGAGCTTGCGAGAGCTGGGCCTGGAGATCGGATGGAGCCTAACAAGTGTGGGGACGGAGAAGTCCATCCTACAAGGAGTGGGGACAGTGCGGGCTGAGGTGAGACTGGTGGGCAGAAGTGCTGGTTGGGCTGGGCACCCAGGGTGGGGCTGAGTAGCCCTGCCAGACAGACCAGCTCCTGCAGGTGCTTGGCATGGAAATGAGACGGGCTGGGAGGGGAAGCTGGGCCGGTGGGTGGACAGAGCAGTGCTGGTGTCCTTGCACCTGCAAACCTTGACTTTGGGGCTTCCTGGAGCACTCGCCACTTGGTCTTGGAGTAGAACTTTCAGCCCAAATGGCAGCAGGGAAGTAACTGAGGTCTCAGAGTATGGGACTTTGCCCAGGGCGCCTGGTGAGGATGGCAGCGTCTTGGGGTAGGAGGAGTCCAGGCTTCCTGTCCCTCAGGTGGCTCTTTGCAAGCCTGGGGTATGCAGCCCCTTGGGGAACAGGCTGTGGGAAAAGTCCCATAGGCCTAATCTGAGCCACCATGCCTGCTAGGCTTGGGGCAAGCACCTCCTACTCACAGCCTCAGTTTCTCCTTCTGGATGATGGCGTATCTGTCTGCCTTGCAGTGCTATTGCAGGTGTTACTCAAAGTCACTGTGATGCATGAGACACGGCTTGATGTATTTCTCCTTGGGGTTGGGCTGGCAGGTGGCACCATGGCTACAGGCCACCCTTGTTACCAGGGAGGCCCGGCCCCTTCCTGCTCCCTCCCTCAAGGCCAGCCATGCTCCCCTCCAGGGACCCTGCCCTTGCTGTGACAATGGTGGGAGGGTCCTGCCTCTCTGGATGCAGCTTTCAGGGCAGAAGGGGATGCGGAGGAGGTGGGGGGGGAGGCGGGGAAAGAGCTGGGCTCTGTTGACCATCGGGGCATTTTAAGCCTAAAAAAACACCCTTTCCAAATGGGAGAGAGGCAGGTGGGTAGGGCCGGGAGGGCGCAGAAACTGGCAGCTTTTGTGAAAATGATGTCACCCCATTGGGGAGCAGGCTGGGTGGGGTGGGAGCCAGGAAGCCTGGGTCCAGCCCAAGTTGTGACCTCAGGCAACCCTGTGACTCTCTGAGCCCCCAGCCCCATGACATGTGGCTCTCTAAGCTCCCTTCCCACCCCCTGTGGCTTCCGTAGACCTGAGCGGAGGCGAGGCTCTGCCCTCCTCATGGCCTAGTGCGAACAGCTGTTTCTGCTCATGGCATCCCTCTGGGCTTCCACAGCTAGAGAACTGGGCGAGGTGAAGGAGGGGCAGGGCTGGGCAGGAGGAGGCTGGGTTCCTGCCACAGGCCAACATCTGGCGTCCTGTGACCCTGGCATGACTCTGACCTTTCTGGACCCCTGTTCTTGCTCCGCCCAAAGGGACAACAGTCCATGCCCTGCCTCTTCCCTAGGGTCCTGTGGGACCCAGGGAAGCCCTCACTCTCTGCAAACCTTTCTCCTTGCCCAGAGGATGGGTTGCCAAGGTAGGACTTGCCAAGATGAAGTGAAGGCCCCCTCCATGTGGGAGACCTGGCATCCCCAGCCTCTTCCCTGCATCCAGACACTTTTGGGAGATAGAAGAGGAGCTGTGGGTGGCGACCTATTTGTAGTCAGGGAGGAAGCAGGGTGGTTGGTGCTCTTCAGAGCCAGATGGCCAAGGCCCTGGTGGTTGTACGGGTGAAAACAGATCAAGCACGCTCCGTGCTGCCATCACAGCTGGGGCCTGGGAGCCAGAGGCCTGGCAGGCCCACTGTGACCGCTGACCCCTTCATCTCCCCCCACCAAACCTGCAGGCCTGAGCCAAGGTGATGCTGAAGATGATGACCTTCTTCCAAGGCCCTCCGGGCCATCAATCTATACCAGGATCCCTCGACTTCCCTGCAAGCTCCCAAAAGTTGCCCTCCACATCAGAGGCAGAATCAGAGGCCTCCATGTCGGAGGCCTCCTCTGAGGACCTGGTGCCACCCCTGGAGGCTGGAGTAGTTCCAGACAGGGAGGAGGGAGAGGCCACAAAGAAGGAGAAGAAGAAGTCCAAAGGACTGGCCAACATGTTCAGCGTCTTCACCAAGGGGAAGAAGAAGAAGAAGAAGAAGAATCAGCCCAGCTCAGAGGAGCCGGAGGGCGAGCCCGAGTCCCTGCAGGGGCCGGACGGCCCACTGCCCACAGGTAGGCTGGGGGCCCAGGCGGCGTCCTGGGTTGGAGCCAGTCCACGGCCTGGGTGGGGCCGGGGCTCGTCAGAGGGAATGACGAGGGACGCCGTGGGCCTCGGAAGTGTGTCTGCCTCCGGGGGCCCCCTGTGCCCCCATTTGCGGGGGTGGCTGGGCGGTCGGGTCCCAGCCTCTCGCTGGGCGCGGGGGGCGCCCCGGGAGGTGAGGGGCCCCGGGCTGACGCGGCTTCCCG